GATCCAGATGTCCTGATCCAGAAGTCCTGATCCTGAAGTCCTGATCCGGTCCCGATTTCCTTTTATTGTCCCGTCAATAATCCACCGTTTCCTGGAAACGTTTCTTGGTTTTCACCAGCAGCTGTTAAATCTTAGAAAACCGGACCAGATCAGAAGAACCAGAGGAGGACCACAGACGGACACAAGTCCAGAGAACAGATGAGCACAATCCAAAGTCCTGGATCATCAGAACCTGAGGGATCTGCCACCCTTCAGCTGGAGGTCCAGATTTCAGTTCTGTGGGGACCATCCAGTCAGACTGAGTTCTCTGGATTCATGAACTGGAACCACAAAAAGGATGATCCAGGGCTCCGATCCAGGGCTCCAATCCAGGTCTCTGATCCAAGTCTCCGATCCAAGTCTCTCATCCAGGTCTCTGATCCAGGTCTCCGGTCCAGGTCTCCGGCCCAGGTCTCTGGTCCAGGTCTCTGATCCAGGTCTCCGATCCAGGTCTCCGGTCCAGGTCTCCGGTCCAGGTCTCCGGTCCAGGTCTCCGGTCCAGGTCTCCGGCCCAGGTCTCCGGCCCAGGTCTCTGGTCCAGGTCTCTGGTCCAGGTCTCTGCTGTGTGGACAGGAGTCTTCCTCTGCAGTGATGAAGAACTGCAGCAGAACCTCCTCCATGATCTCCACATCCACAGGATGTGTGCGTGTGCGCGCGTGTGTGTTGATTGATGATTTAAAGTCCAGTCTTGAGATTTTCTTACTAAATCACCCAGGACTCGCTCCGTTTCCGGTTCGGGTCCAACGGGTTCTGGACCCAGCAGCTGAACCTGCAGATGTCAGAAGCTCCTCGGCAGCTGCCGGAGTGCTCCTGAGCATCACTCCTGCATCCTCAGGTTGAATGCTGCACTCTGACTGGCTGCTTCTCTGATGGTCTGGGCGGTACCACGGGCACCGGAACCGGGTCAGAACTGTGTGAAGCGCTCAGATACTCACCCTTCAGGGTCAGCGTCTCCTCCAGACGAACTGCCAGATCTTTATAATCCATGACGGTACCGGTTCGGCTGGACCCGAGTCCGGCTCATTCCTCACGCAGAACCGCCGCGGTCCGAGACCAGAACTCCGGTATGGGTCACCCAAACACACCCAGAACCGCAGAGGAAGACGTGGCCGAAAATTAGACCGGACTGAAACCAGAACCGGACCAGAACCAGTGCCTGGAACAGGACTAACTGGAGGGTCAAGAACCGGAACCGAATGTTTTTTTTTTTATAAAAACAGAGGTTCGGTTCCGTCCAGCTGGGTGTGGAGGTCTTTACTGAAGAATCTACAGCTGGGGGGACCGAACCGAGTCAAGGTTCTGAGAGGATCATTCCACTTCCGGTACCAGCCTTCAAAATAAAACATGTTTACACCGGTCAAACAGAATCTACTTTAATCAAAGTGATTGATTACACCTAGAGCAAGAACACAGCTAAAATCAGCTGAACAACAGCTAAAAGCTCAAAGAGGCAACAAGTCAATAAAAGTTTAAAGAAGCACACAAAGACCAAAAGTATGCAGGTTTAAAAGAAAAAGTATTTTTAATGAATTAAAAGATAAAAAGAACCATTTCATGCTTTCATTATTTTAATTTAACAAAAATTATTATTTATTCCTCTGCAGGTTCTATTGGGTCTGACCCTGAACCAACAGAACCTCCTCTAGCACCAGAACTCAGAAGTCTTCTGCAGGACTTCATCAGAGTTCTGGACCAGTCTTCTTTCCATCACTGAGGTTTCTGCTCAGCTCTCTGAAGGTCCACGATGAGGTTCTGGATTCTGACTGGACCTGCAGCACTTTGGTCCGTCCATCATCAGTACCCGCTTCTTCCTTTTCAGGCTGTGGGGTCACCGGTGCCCATATCCAGCAGTCTCTGTGTGAGAGACAGGGGACACCCTGGACAGGTGTCCTGTCCATCACAGGGACACATAGAGACAAACAACCACTCTCTCTGTCACCTAGAGACAATTTAGAGTCGCCATCAGTCCATCATGCACGTTTTTGTTCTGTGGGAGGAAACTGGAGAAAACCCACGCAGCACGGAGAGAACATGCAAACTGCACACAGAAAAGCCCCCGGACCGGGATTTGAATATATATATATATATATATATA